GAGAGGTTAGCTGGGAAACCCCACGTAGGTAATCCCTAAACTCTTTCTTTGGGAAGTTATACAGAAAAAAATCACATCCTATACCTGAAGTGGTATAGGTGGTGCTTTGGTTGGAATGTGTAACCCCCAAATTGAATCTTAAACCCGATGTGATAGTGTTAAGAGTTGGGGCCTTTAAGAGATGACTAAGTTGTGAGGGCTCATGAATAAGATTAATAAAATGTAGGTGTGCAGGGAGCTGACTCCCTCCTTTTGCTCCTTCTATCTCTTCCACAATGTGAGATGCTTAGTTCATCCCCAAGGAAGATGCAGCAGCAAAGTGCCATCTTAGAAGCAGAGCCCAGGCACTGTCCAGACACCCAACTTCCTGGAACCTTGATCTTGGACTTTCCAGCCTCTAGAAATGTGAGAAATAAATTTCTATTACTTATTAATTACCCAGTCTGTGATGTTTGCTCATAGCAGCACAAATGGACTAAGACATATGGCAACCTGGCCCCGATGTCATTATTACCATTCCTTGCTGCACTGAGAAACCCCATCTCTCTCCTGTGACCCAACATGCATGAGAGTCTTTTCAGGATGACCTCTTTTGCTCATGGAGACTCTATTAGTTCCTATATTATTGTGACACTGCTAGTCTTGGGTACAGTCCCATTTCCTAAGGTGGCTCAAGACTGTGGAAAGGGACATTAAGATCACTATCTGAAAAATCAGGTTATGTCTGCCACTTGGCCTCTAACATAGTATTCTAACAGCTACATCATGCTTTTTTGCTGTTCGGACCAGTGGCCACTAACCACAGGCAGCTACTAGGCAGCTGAAATGCAGCTAGTTCAAACTAGATGTGCTATAAATACAAAATATCACAGGATTTTGAAGACATGAAAAAAGAATATAAAATCAGTAATTAATTATTTTTATATTTATTATATGTCAAAAATGATACTACTTTGGACATAACAAGATGAATAAAATATAGTATTAAAATTAATTTTGCATGTTTCTTTTTATTTTTTTTTTTTGTATGTGTTTTTGTGTCTACCAGAAAATTTAAAAGGACATATGTGGTTTGTATTATATTTCTAGTAAACAGAGCTGCTCTAATGTAGTAGTTCTCAAATGGGATCCCTGGGCCAGTGCCCATAAACTTGGCCCCAACCAGGCCTGATGACTGAAAGACTCTGGATATGGAGTGTTATTGTTCTGATGAGCACTCAAACGTGGGAATCACTATTCTATTTGTCCCCAATGATGCTTAGCTGTACAGGAAATAAGTGGTTATGACCACAGCCTTTGCAGTTGGAGTAGGTTTGAGTTCCAGCTTATCACTTCCCAATTTGTGAACTTGTGCCAGTCAGCTAAACCCTCATTAACCCACCTATAATATGGTAATGGATAGTAGTACCCACCTTCCTTCCTGGGTGGTTGCTCAGATTAAATGGAATGCAAAGTATCTAGCATACCAAGGGGGTTCAAAACATAATATGAGCCATTTTTATCATCATTATTGCCATTAGGATTTCTGAAACATCTGTGCCATGTATCTATTATGAGACCATGTATCTATTATGTATCTATTATTGTGACACTGCTAATCTTGGGTACAGTCCCATTTTCTAAGGTGGTTCAAGACTGGGGAAAGGGACATTAAGATCACTATCTGATATAACTATTATGATGAGGTTGTGAGGCCAGTCACTGAATAAGAAATGACTCAGGGACACTTACTTCATTCCTACTGTTCTCTAGTTCATAAACATAGAGCAAAAACTTAAAAATGGCAACAATGAGGGAAGCTTGCTTCTCTGGAACATTCATCCGCAATGTGGAGCAGTTTCAGCTACTTTTTCATGTATTCAGTAAACATTTTCTGAATGTCCACTAAATGCTAACATTGTTGAATAATAACAGTAAAGAAATGGGTCATTACTGAGTAAGCTACCAAAATAAACACCAGATAATCTTCAGGTAACATTCACCTTGAGAGAAGTACTTTCCTTTGGCTTATCTTTATCTTCTCTGTACCTATGCCAGTGCTTAGTATACAGTAAGAACCTAATATATGCTAATTTTCAGCTATCCTTTCTTCCAACATTAATAGATTTTCTAGAAATTGTGTGAGAATTACTTTCCATATCCTAAAAAACAAAAACAAAAACAAAACAAACAAAAATACCCAAAGCCCTTAGCTTAAAAATGAGGAACTGGATGACACAGCTAATCATGTCACCCAGCAGAATGGGCTTCTATGACCCTGGTCTTCCTGCCATCCTCCTTTCCTTGTATTATACCTTACCCAGCACTTGGGAAAGAACTATCATCTTGGACCACTTGCCTATTCTAATTTGTGGCTGTTAAGGGAGAATTTGCAGAGTAAATATTGGGTTCCAGTGGGCATCAAAATCCTATTGGGCTGATAGTGTAGGGTACCATCTAGTTGCTTTTTTCGTAACTGCAAACTAGGCAACAATTGAGTTACACATGCACATTTTAAAGTGGAGATGTCAACTATTAGCAAATAAAATCCCACAAATTCTCCCTCTATCTCTTTTTTTCTTAGAACACATATATGGCATTTTTATTCATTTGGCAACAATGATTTATTGAGCTTATGTTCCAGAGATGTATGTCAGTGAACAAGGTAGTTTAAAAAATCCTGTCATCGTGGAGTTTCCAGAGGGGTAAGGCAGAGTCTTATTTCTCACACAGAATTTTGTGTAATAGAAGGTAGAAAGTGCCACAAGGAATAATAAAGCCAAAAAGGGAATAGAGAATGTGGAGATGCTATGATTTAAAAAGAAAGAAAGAAAGGAAGGAAGGAAGGAATGAAGGAAGGAAGGAAGGAAGGGAGGGAGGGAGGGGAAAGGAAAACAAAAAAGGTACTTAGGGACAGCATCACCAAAAAGGAAAGACTTGGAGGGGGTGAAGAAATGAGGTGAGATGAAGAAATGAGGTGAGCAGCTACCTGGTGGAACCGTTCCAGGCAGAGGTGGTGCAAAGGCCTGAGATGGAGACAGTTTGCATATTCAAAGAAGAGCAGAGAGGCTGAGTGGCTGGGGCTGAGTGGAAGCATAGAGGACACTGGACAGTCACAGGGATGAGTCATCCAGGGCCTTATCAGATTTCCAAATGCTATTGGTTTTGTCAGCCCAGGTTTATGAGACAAGATAAATAAAATAATTGGTTTAAAAAACCCATAATTGTCAGCAAATCTAAGCTGAAAATAAAAATATTTTTTCCTTTAATAGGTTAATAACATGGAACTGAATAAGGAAAGAAAGCAGTGTGGCTGGGAATTACAATATAGCATTTAATGATTTCACTCACCAAGAATTTAAATATCACTTACCCAAAAGACAGGGTGAACCAAACGATTGTAAGCTTTATTGTATTTTCCCTGACGGGATAGTTGAAACATCTCATAAAAGTCATCCAAATCTGTGAAATATTAGAGAAACAGTTTTCTTATGCAATTAGTCAACCCCACTCCCCTGCCCCTTCCACTGAATTATAAAAAAGCTGAGTTTTTGTTGGGCTGAATTCATGTCAACCTAAGCCCCAGAGGGAAACATATACTGGAATTTTCACTTCTCAGCTTCCTGAAGGCCAATGGACTTCAGGATAGCCTGTCTATGGCCTGACACCTTCCTACCCAAGGACAGGGCATAGTGGCTAGCTGCTGATCCCAAAGTGGTCAGATTGCTTGGTCCTCATCCAAGTTCAGATGTCCTAGACAAAAAGGAAGAATCCCATTGATGGGATAGGTAGGGTCAGCCCCTCTTCTCACTATCCCCCAAATGTAAGAGGTTGACATGCAGGTCAGTGCAGAACTGGGTACTTACTCCATACAGTTCTGTGCGGATCCGAACAAAACACCTCCTGTACCATGTTCCAGTATCACTCTCAATTTCAATCAACTCATCTATTTGTTTAGGGGTTTTGATTTTGTTTACCTGTAGAAAGCAACAGAGCACAAAATGCTGAGTTCTCTAAAGTTGCTGAGTTTAGGCTGACGTGCTCGCTCTCTCTCTCTCTCTCTCTCTCTCTCTCTCTCTCTCTATATATATATATATATATATATATATATACTCTCTATATATATATATATATATATGTGTGTGTGTGTATTGTTTTAGTTGTAGTTGGATACAATACCTTTATTTCATTTCATTTTTTTATGTGGTGCTGATGTTCAAACCTAGCGCCCTGCAAGTGCTAGGTGAGCACTCTACCACTGAGCCACAACCCCAGCCCTCACAATATATTTTTAAAGAAGTGAAACCTGACTCCTATAAAAAGTAAGTGATATTCAGTAATTACTCCATACAAATAGGAGACCACTGGTATAAGTATACAGGTCCAAACAGCACCTAAGAGAACTGAACAAGAAATGAGTGGCAGGGGATGTTTTAGAGAAATGGGGGAAGAGAAAGTAGTAACAGAAAGATATGAAAACAAAATACCCTTCTCTGAATCATTACTATGAAGAAGACATTAGCAGATAAAACATTCAGATTCACTTATGCATTAAGAATTATTTTGAATTAAACTCATATGAAAACTATAATGCGCTAATAAACAAAATGTCTTATTTAAAAAAAAGAGTTATTTTTCTTGGGAGTTAGGGCTATAGCTCAGTGGCAAAGTGCTTGTCTAGCATGTGTGAGGCATTGGGTTCCATCCTCAGCACTAGAGATAAATAAATAAAAATAAAGGTTCATCCACAACTAATATATATAAAAGAATTATTTTTTTAAATTTTTTTAGTTGTAGATGAACACAATATCTTTATTTTTATTTATGATTATGTGGTGCTGAGGATAGAACCCAGTGCTTCACATGTGCAAGGCAAGCGCTCTACCACTGAGCTACAGCCCCAGCCCCATAAGAATTATTTTTATTGACCTTCTTTTATTGACCTTTATACTCCTTAAAGCTTTCCCATCAAACTTGTATTTGTAGAGTGTCACTAAGGCCCTTTCCTCCTTCTCCTGCAGCCTAACCAAGAAGTGGCTAGCCAGCAAATCCCACAGGTGGCCTCAATGCAAGTGACCGAGCATCAACACTAATTCTTCAGTTTCTCAAGGGAAATCAATGGCAGAAGTTCAACAAGAAAAGCTGCATCTGCGACTCCAGATAGTCACTTTTTGCTAAGAAAAGAGCTACAAAACAGGTGAGCAGTGTTTTCAGCACAGAGAATGAATCCTGAAAAGAGGAAAAAAGGAAGAACAGCTCCTTTGTGGACCTGGCCCACCTTCCCCTGTTATCCACACTTACTGATTTTTGAACCATCTGAGAGGACATGGAAATGTGTACCCTTTACCCTTTACCTTTTATTCTTGTTTGAGCAGGTTTTTCTGGGAAGCCTGTCAACATTCCAGATAGCAATTCTACTGTATTGCCATCCTCAATATCCAGGTTCTGAGGCTGGATTTTAACAGAGAGGATGTGGGAACCCTAGCATCTTTCAAATTGTACCAGGTAGGCAGTAGTTTCTTTTTGGCTATATGAACAAAGATGTCTATTTCTGGGTTAAATATGGAATTTCAAATATAATCAGATCAAAATAATCCATGTAGGGATTATTCTGTGATACTGTAGTTTTTTGGTGTTTTTTTTTTAATCACAAGTTTTTTTTTTTTTTTTTTTTCAATACTGGGGATTGAACCCAGGGGTGCTTTACCCCTGAGCTACACCTCCATCCCTTTTTGTTTTGAGACAGGGTCTTGTTAAATTGTTCAGGCTGGCCTTGAATTTTCCATCCTCTGTTTTAGTCTCCTAAGTAGCTGGGATTATAGGCTTACACCACTGAGTCTGGCAAAGAATGTTCTCATAATTCAACGTTTTACTTTTGAGAGGCTTCCACTTCTCCACTCATCATCATTTGATCATTCATCCATTCATTGGCACCTACTGGAGCTGTAAACATGAAACATCATAACTTCCAAGCAATTACCACATGAGAGTGAAAGTGCTCATGTGGAGGTCTGTATAGAATGAGAAAAATACTGTTCAGAACATTCAATTTGATGAAAATCAGAAAGCTTCATGGACTCCAGAATTTGAATTGAGGTGGACATAGAAGTATAATATTTGCTAAGTGTATAAACTGTTTGGAGGAATAACATGTACAAACACTGGAGATGTGAGGGAAAACAGTGCAGTGGCTAACAACAAAGAGTTTGGCATTTTTGGCAAATAGTGCAAGGTCAGAGGGCATTGAGTGATGAAGATTGAGCCAAATTGGTGGCAGTAAGAATTGGAAAGTAAGGAAAATTATGACTGGCAATTTAGGAGGTGAAATAAGAGGAAATGGTGATTCTTTGGAAATAACGGTGATAAGTTCAGGTTTAGAGACATAGTGTTTGAAGGGCCATTGGATACAGAAGGATGTTCACAAAGCCCTTCAACATGCATGTCTGGAGCTTAGGAGATTTGTGCATTAGGAGACAGAGACACATGAAATAGCTGAGAACAATTAAGGAGAGTGTGTAGGGGGTTAACAGAGAAGTTAGCTGAAAATGAAGTCTCAGAAAATACTTAAGGTAAGGACAGATCAAGAAGAGCTTAAAGAGGAGACTTTGGGTAAAATGCATGCAACTTTGTTGTATTGTATATAGAACTAAAAAAAAAAGATAAATTTGTCATGGTAGAATCATGTAATGATTTTAGAAGTCATGTATAAAAGACTTGGAGATTATCCATTCTTTTGGTGCATTTCCACGTTATTCTTCTTCAACATTTATGTAATAACAAGGATGACCATGAGTAGGTTTGGTGACTCAAGCCTTCTTGAAGAAAAGGTAGGCAAGCAGGGCAATGAGAACCTACAGAGACACTTTCTCAGAAGGTATTTGATAAGGATTTATCCTTGTCTGAATGAGAAGGATTAAATAACGTGAAGTATCTAGATGATATCTCATGTTTCCTCCAACCTTATGATTATCTAATTTTAAAAATTGTTAATAACATTAATGCTGTTGTACATTAACTCAAAAGAAGGGCCTATTAAAAGGCCACCTGGCCTTGAATGGGGGATATCCATTACTGATTTTCATTTCTCCATAACATTGCATAGAAAATTTTGCTAATGAAGCATCTGTGAGGTTGGTGGTATAGCTCAGTGATAGTGTTTGCCTAGCATACAGAGGTCCTTGGTTGGATTCTCACCACTGGAAATTAACATCTGATAATTTGGATATAGGCCAGACTACAGCACATCTTTACATTATAAAAAAATCTATTTCCTAAGTAGAAATGAACTGAATAAATAAGATACTTAATCAGGGTCCATTTTACATGTTTTAACAACTGTAATTGATACTATTAAAGCCACTGAAGTTCTTACGTAGGTTCCTTTTATGTTTTAGTGAACATCCTTTTAAACTTTTTTACAACAAAACATTTTTAGTCTACTTGTATGACTGTGTATATCAAAAGATTTAAAACGATCATTCCTTCCAAAAATTTTTGTGCATTCATTTTTATTAATTTGACTGGCTTTCCATATAGTTTATTCTCTATAGGGAATAAAAACTAGAAGATGGAAGAACATTCCTGGCAGAGAGAACAGCTTGTGACATATTAGGTTGAATGGCAAACCTTAGGAACTGAAAGATGAGTGTATATACAGAGAGGACCTGAAAAGTAGGAGGGTCTTGTCCTTGTTGTCAACATTGAGGATTTTTGTCTTTATCTTGAGAACAATGTGAAGTCAGTAGAATGTGAAATTGGGATACACATTATATATGTTTGTGCTCATGTGTGTACATGTATCATAAAATGAGACCTATTTTAGAAATAAATTTCTTGATTCTTTCATCTTTTATGTTCTTATCAAGCCACAAAAAGGTGTAGCTACATATTTGGATTATCTTTCTCTGGTTTCCCACAAGACTACCTTCCTTTATCAAATTCTGATTAGTTATTGACCTAAGAAATTGCCACGTGTAAAATATTTGCCTTTATGTAAAGTTTTTGTTGTAGATAACATCTCTTACATTGCTCAGTATTCCTTATAACAAGATTATATAAACTTTTCACAAATTAGAACTAAAGTTGACTTTTTTTTGAAAAACAAATGCATTGCTATTTACTTTATATCAAAAACTATGTAATCTACCAGAGGAGAGGGGAAAGAAAATGGAGGTATCAAGGAAAGAAATTGAATGAATTATGTTGCTTGCATATATAAATATGTAATAACAACTTCCATTATTATGTACAATTATAAAATGCTAATTAAAAAAAAAAAACAGAAAAATACCCTTATGCAATCTATTAAATCTGTCTTTTACCTCGGTTGTCAGGAAACCCAGAGATTAGTTTCATGCTTACTTAACACTGCTTTGATCCTCTAGTATAATTGTTTTCTCATTTTTTACTAGATTAAAAAAAACTCTTAGTAAATAACTTTAAAATTTTACTAAGTATCTTAATGTTTCTTAGGGCCTCAGCATTATGAAGGATAATTCCTGACAACTTGGAGAAAACACTACGGAGTTGCTATGAATGGTTATCTTTGGAGGGGTTGTATGTCATTGGGCAACGTCCTGGAAGGTTAGTGACCAGAATTATTACTAGTGAGGGTATTTAATGCCACTGTGTTTCATATAATCTGATCTTTTTTTTTTTTTTTTCTTTTTGTGGTAATGGAGTGTCTCGTAACTTAAAATCCTTCTGCATTAGGATGTTCTGTGCTTCTTGGCTGAGCAGCGGGTGGAAATACATTTCAGGGGCAAGAGCAGTGGCCTGGCAGAGCAGAGGAGATGGCCCAACAGGCATTGATCTCCTCTGACAGCAAATCAAGCGGTATCTGTTGGTGATCCCTACAACCAGGGCCTCCTGTCCTCTGGTACTGAGCCTGGGAGTCAGAATAAGTCTGAGATCAAAATGTGATCTTTCTACCTTAACCCATCTCTCAGGCTGATAGTATTATTTAAACAAACACAGAGCAGTGGAGTTATAGTTAGTCATAGATAGGGTTGGCAACCTACAGACCAAACCAGCCCTCTGCCTATCTGAGTAAATAAACTTTTATTAGAACACAACCACACTCATTTATTTACACATCATCTGTAGCTGCTGTTATATTACTGTGGTGGAGTTGCATAGTTGTTATAGACACTAAATGGTTTGCAAAGTTTAAAATGTTTATAATCTGGGGCTGGGGATATGGCTCAGTGGTAGACCACTTGCTTAGCATGTGTGAGGCACTGGGTTCGATTCTCAGTACCACATATAAATAAATTAATTAAATAAAGGCCCATCAACAACTAAAAAAAATTTAAAAAATTAAATGTTTACAATCTGAATTATTATAGCTATTAACTTCACAAATAATTAAAATTTAAACCATTCAAAAATTTAAAAAAATGCTAAGCAAGTACTTGGCAGAGTTTGTTTATAATGCACGTAAAGTTCTTTATATGTGATGTTATTTATTGACTTGAATTTTTTTTAAGTCTATGAAAATTTTTTTTAAGTCTCTGAAAAAGAACAGTTGCTATTGTTTCACTCTGATAAATAAAAAGATGGGGCACACACACCAAATATTTACAATCTGGTCCTTGACAGAAAATTTGTCCCGAACTCTGGTGTGGAAGATTCTCTGAGCAGACTCACCGTGAAGACCTTCTCGGGTTGACCCCGTGCTCTCATGTTGGTGTCATGAATTAACTTCAGAATCATCCAAGCTTCATCGTGTTTTCCAACCTAAGAAATGTACAGGCAGTGAGGCTCTAGGAGCAAAACACATATCCCCCCTGATTTTCCAATAACCATCTTGTACTCTCAGACCACATAGAGTGTAATTGTGCAAAGGCATGTAGATAAGTCCCACCGGCAGAAACAGATTATCTGGATGTCATTGAATACACTAGCAGTTCAAACTATGTGCCTGTAACTAGGAATAGTACATGTGAAGGGCAAAATTTCATTTACAAAATAATAAGGCATGTTCTCTTCATTAAGTGAAAGGTTGTTTAAGGAGGAACATAAATATTTCTGGCCATGAGGCAGCTTTTCCACACATTGGTTGTTTAAAACCTGTCTTCATGAAATCTAACCCTCTATGGTTCCATGTAGGAAGGAAAACTGTACCTGCCAAAGAGACCAACATAATTCCTAGGATTAGCAAGGAACTCCTTCCAGTGTATGTGGGCTACTTGAGTATATGTAATAAACATTACCTCCAACAAGAACCGGGGGCTTTCAGGCATGAAGGTGAGGGCTACCACAGAACAGACGCAGGGCAGCGCGCAGACAATGACGAATACACGCCAGCTGTGAAACTGGTAGGCTGAGCCCATGCTGAAGCTCCACCCTGGAAGAGCAGACGGGAAGAATGAGCAAGGCTTCCCCTAGGAGCCTGTCAGGAAAGTCCCCCTGGCATCTCCACCTGGATTTTTCAGTCGAGTTTTACTGTCCTCAGAGGAACAAGCTGATCCGCCATGGTGACCAACTCAGTTTTAAGTGTACCATTGGCAGTGCTGAAATAAAGATGCTTGACCCCAAAGGGCTTCAGGTCTAAGTAGGGGGTGCCTGTGGGCTTATATATAATCAAATCCCAAAGGCCAACATTAATTAGGGAAAAATGCTTCATCCAATAGGTCACTGTGCTGGGTATCTTGTGTTTGTTCTTTCAGATCACTCTCCACTATTTTCCACCCTGCTGTCTGCCATGAAATGGCTCTCTGTAGACAGCATCCATGGCTCCCAGTTAGGTTGGAGTAAAGGAAGCAGCCAAGGGAACATCGAGTCTGCTGAGCGTGGTACCCAGCTCCAAACAGAAACTGAAGATTTCTAAATGTAACAAAAATAGAATTTTTATCTTAATATAGTAAAAAACAACCACAGTGGGATGCAAACAGAAATGCCTTTAAGAACAAAAAGCCAATCTTTGAATGAATATTAAAATGGTTGAAAGGAAAATGCAAACATGATTCTAAATGCAAAGTAATGAGGCGTATCAAATCTAATTGAAAACACAGAGGAGATTTATAGAGGCAGAGATGAATTATGTGGAGTGAAATTCTAATTTATAGCAAGGCTTGGTGTTTCTAAGACTTTCTGTGAACGTAAGTCAGGTAGTCTACATCCCAGTCCCAGGAGAGCTGTACAATTATTCACTGTTCACACAAAAGCCAAGTGAGATTCTGAAGGTGACATAACTTCCTCAAGGCCACAGAGCTGAAGTCACATATCAGAATCTTCCCTGTCAGGATTTGAAACAGAATTATATATCAACACATGGCCTCATGTGTGTACCCACTCACTCACTGAATTTGTTGACAAGTGATGTAAGCATCAATGACATACTATATTAATCTTAGATTAATAAATTTTCCTGGGAATTTAGTATATGGATATTATGGGGGTTGATAAATTAATTTTTAAATAAATGTTAGGGAAATATGATTGCTTTTGATGCTTTATGTGGCATAAATTAAAAAGTTTTACCTATCCAATGCAGAATAAATTCTATGATGGAACAGGGGAAATATAACTGCTTATTTCATATTTGATTTCAGAGCTTCATCTAAATATCTTTTTTTTTTTTAAAAAAGACATTCTAGGTTCTATTATTTAAAACATTGGAAGAAAAATGAAAGCTTTCAGCGATCTGTTAAATTTCAGGCTAGAGCACATTCCATAAAGTACAAGGAAGAGGATCAAAGACAAATGGGGGAAGGCTCTGGTACCATCGATCAAATATGTTAGTTCAGAAAGTGAAGTTTGTAAAGGAGAAATTTACTACAGTGAGTAGAGTTGATGCTTCTTGTAGATGGAATAATGCTTCCTCCCCGCAAAGCCATTCTCATCCTAATCTCCAGAGTCTGTGAACATGTTACCCTACATGAAAAGAGACGCAGCAAGAATTATTAAGTCAAACATATGGAGAGAAAGATTGTCCTGCAGTATGTGACTAGGCCAAGTGTAAATGCAAGTGTCCTTCAATGGACAAGAGGGAAGTAGGAGAATCTGAGTGAGAGAAGGACAGAAGCCGAGGTTGGACTGGGGAGATTTGAAGACGCCATGCTGCTTGCTTTGGAGATTGAGGCAGAGACCACAAGCCAAGGAATGTAGGTGACTGGTAGAAAAGGCCAAGACTCCTCTCCTAGCGAAACTCTGCCAGTGTACTTGAACTTCTGACCTCAAGAAGTGTCAGATAATAAATTTATAATGTTTGAGGCTGAAACATTTGTGGTGATTTATTGCAGCAGTAATAGGAAACTGATACACTCCTCTTTGTAATTACAGCTTGTGATAGTTAGCTTTTTCACCACTGTGACCAAAAGACCTGACAAGAACAATGTAGAGGAGGAAAAGTTTATTTGGTGCTCATGGTTTCAAAGGTCTCAGTCCATAGATGGTTGACTCTGTTGCTCTGTGCTCGAGATGAGGCAGAACATCAAGGTAGAAGGCTGTGACAGAGGAAAGTAGCTCAGGATGTGGTGACAAGGAAGCAGAGAGAGAGGGCTCTGTTCACCAGGGACAAAATATATACCCCAAAGACATGCTCCCAGAGACCTATCTCCTCCAGCCCACCCTACCTGCAACCCAGTTAATCCATTCAAGTGGATTAGCATGCTGATTGGATTAAGGGTCTCATAACCCGAGCATTTCACCCTCTAAATTTTCTGTGCTGTCTTACACAATACTTTTTGGGGACACTTCATACCTAAACCAGACACAGGTCCCTCACTAGCTTGATGGGTGAAATTAAGTTGGAGAATTGTAGCTATTCTCTATGAAACTCCAGGCTCCCTGCTTTTGCCTAGATTTCTCCAGATGCCCCTCCAAAGCCATCAGGCTCCTTCTCAACAGCTGGTTTTAGGAAGGTTGTCTTGGAACATGAAATCAGTGGATGAAGAGACTTACTACAAAGTGATTCCAGTTGAGAAGGTTTCAGTCTACCAAGGATATTGGATAACAATGTAAAATCAAAAGAGAGGGCCGGGGTTGTAGCTCAGTGGTAAAGTGCTTGCCTAGCATGTGTAAGGAACTGGGTTCAATTCTCAACACTGCATATAAATAAATAAAATAAAGGTCCATTGACAACTAAAATAAATAAATAAATTTAAAAATAAAAAAAAATAAGGGGCTGGGGTTGTGGCTTAACGGTAGAGTGCTCGCCTAGCTTGTGCAAGGCCCTGGGTTCCATCCTCGGCATCACATACAAATAAATAAATAAAATAAAGATATTGTGTTCAACTACAACTAAATAATAAATAGTTGAAAAAAATAAATAAATAAAACCAGAAGAGAACTAACTGATCCAGAGGCCAGCTCTGCTCAGTTTAGAACAGCTGAAGATTAGCCTGTTCATTGCTGCTCAGGTCTGCCTCTATGTCATTAGCCATGAAGTCTGTCTTCTTATTCCTTGCATGGTGTACATGTATCCATGTGTGTATATACCCATACATGCACAATCACATGCATTTTGGTGACCTCTTTCTGTGTAAAGAATGTGTTGTCCACCCATTTCTCTTTTCATTTATTTGCAATATGCTTTTCTCCCACGCTCCAAAACTGTTTTTAATCCTTTAGTCCATCCCTTTCCAAATATCCAGTCGTCAATCTCATTCCTTATATTTGAACTCAATTCCTGATCCTTTGAGAAAAGAAACACAGAAAGAACTACACACATCTCATCTTCTCACTCTTCACTAGCCTGATCTGCCTTCTCCTGTCCCATCTCTATAGCAGATGACCTGTCCATGTGCCAATCTAAGGTCCGCTGGTTCATGTGGACTCTGAAGCCCATCTTTCTCTTTCTCACAGGGACGGAACTCCTGTAGTTACCTACCTCTCCTCTCCAGCCCTTACCAACACATTTTCTTACTTCACTTCAGGAGTTGTTCCTTCCACACATCCACGCCCAGCATCTAGTAACACCCCTTCCTTGGCCCTCACAGGCTTCTGCGGCTGCACTGCTTTCTCTTTCCTCATCACAGCAAACACTTCTCAAAAGAATGATCGGTAGCAACTGTCTCCACTTTCTCACTCCAAACAGACTTCTGTCCTGAATTCCACACAAATGGGGCTGGTCAAGGTCACCAATTTTGCCAAATTTAGCAGTCACTTCTCTGTCTTGATGTTACTGAAAACTTCCAAATCAATTCATACAGCTATCTATTCCCTTGTTTTTGAAAAGTTTGTTTTCCTTGACTTCCTCATCAGTACTAGTCTGTTTTCCACCTGACTGGCCCTCCTTAGCTGGTCCCCCAAAGTCTGCAAACCCCCAATATTGTCATTGACTCTCTCCTCTGTCTACAGGGGGTTCATTTATCTCCAGACTTCATGCACCCTCTCCATGTCTTTGCCTGTAAAATGTATCCTGTTCTCTTCCTGGAATGCCAGAACTACCTCTCTACCTGCCTATTTACCTCTTTACAGAGATAGATACCTACCAGGCATTTCAGATATACCATATGCAAAATGGAACTTTAGATTTTCTACCACACTACCAAGGAAAAACTCTCATTTCTCTCTCAACTTTCCTAATCCAGCTCTGCCAGTCAGAAATTATTCATGCTAAAAACATTCAATATTTCATCCTTGATTCCCCATTTTCCCTTACTACCTGCTATGTTCAACCCATTGGCAAGTTCTGTCTCTAAAATTCATCTCAAAACCATCCATTTCTTCTTATCTCTGTGGTACTACACAGGTTCCAGTTCACATGGACCACTTCCTGACCTTCAGTGACAGCCTCTTAACTGGTCTCCCTGCCTCTCTTGGTCTGCCATAGTCCACTTTCCCTATAGTAGTCAGAGTTGTATTTTTAAACGTCAACAAGTACACTTTGCTCTGCTGTTTAAAGACTCCCCACACATATGGATTGCAACCCACGTGTCTTACCACAGCTCCAAGACCTGCATGGACTGATCCCTAGTTAAATGTCTGAGCTCATCTTCTTCAGCTGATCCTTTTCCTCACTTGGTCCAGTTCCATTGATCAGCCTGCAGTTCTTTGAAAATAGATCCTAATTCCAATCTTTGGGGCTAAGCCTTTTCCCCAGAAACCTAGCCATGCATTTAAAAGTATGTTTATGTATTTTAGCCAGTCTTTCTGAGTTTTGAAGTAAGTTTGTTTTTTTTTTTTTTTTGTCCTCAGCACATCTCACCTCAATTTAGATTATAGTCCCCTACAAATCCTTAGCATTTGATATCTGCCCTATGTGGACTGCTCTGTCTAAATATTTGCATTGATGGCTGTCTCCTTCCACCTTCTAGGGATCAGTTTAGGGTCAGAGGGATCCACACATTAAATCCCACTTTCTGTCACTGGAGACCTGTTTTATTGTCTTGATAGCACTAAGCATTATCTAAAGCTGTCTTATTTGTTTATTAGTTTACATGTTTTTACTTGTCCTTTTCCTCCTCCAGGAAAGCAGAATCCCTGCTTTTCTGACTTACCAATATCTCCCTAGTGCCATTAGGAAGTCCCAGTCCATAGGAGGTGTTCTTTAAATGTTTATTTAAATGAAAATACACACACACACAGTGTATATGTGGTTTCCTTTTAATTTTTTTTTCTGGATCCACACTAAATAGCAAAATATTTTGATTTGCTTTTTCAAATTGAATTGGTAACTCATATAGATACCATAAGATTTATTTATTATTTGCAGATATCTAGCTCTCTGCATTTGGCAAATGTGCAGCCATGTAACTACGACCATAATTGGGAAACGGAATAATTCTATCACCTTGAAACTTTCCTTTGTGTTGCACCTTTGGGGTCAACCCCTCCTCTGTTCTCTGTTCCTGTAGGTTTGTCCTTTCCAGAATGTTATATAAATGGAATCATTCTGCATTTCACTTTTTGAATATGCTTCTTACACTTAGCATTACATATCTGAGATTCATGTAAATTATTGCACATACCAGTAGCTTATTTTTCTTTGCTGTGTTATGCTCAATTTTGTGAATATACCACAGTTAGTTTATCCACTCACCAGTGGAAGGATTGTTGGACTGTTTCCAGTTTGCAATGATTATAAATAAAGATAATGTAAATATATCATACAGTTTTTTTGCATGCATCAAAATTTCCTGTACTCTGTGTAAATATGTAGAAGTGGAATAACTGAGTCATATAAGTTTCTGTTTAGCTTTATAAGAAGATATTTTTATTTACTATGTGTCCATTCCTTCATACTTTTATTGAGTAACTATATGTGTCAGCCATAATGCTGTGATATGGGGGCTAATAAAACTGATTCCCAGACCTCGAGGGGGTTAGAGCCCAGTGGATGAGGCAGATGTGCTAACAGACATGATAAACAATACAACCCATGCTGGACCAGGTTATAAAGAAAGTGCAGCAGGAATACAGAAGAGGCAGTGGTATCTATACATTTTAAGGGGTCTACTCTCAAGATTTCTGGTCACATTTCTGATTTGGGCTTATGAACAAAGAAAGCAAATTCTAAAATTTCTAAAGTCAGAGATAGATAGAGAATCAAAATCTATGCCTAATAAGATCTTGAGATTGGTAAGATTGATTGTCCCTTTCCTACAATGTTACAACTGCCTGACTTGGAGAGGGAGAACAAAGACTAGGGAGCAGTGGCATGAGTCCTGACCAGGGAACTGGATGCCCCTCCTCTCTTATAACATCCATCACCAGGGGTCAAAGGCTAAACAGGAGATAATTACAGTGAGGGTCTTGAGAAATGACCCCACAGATGCTTTGTAAAACAAAAATACCATTCTGTGCATTAAAAACAAATAAAAGGATGAAGAAGTAAAACACTGACCACCATCATTTCTCATCTATGAATCCAAAGCATTCCCCCAGCTCCATTTCAAGATGAATTAAATCTAAATTTAAGAAATACACAAAAGCTGGGTGTAGCACTGCATTCCTGTAATCTCAGGGGCTTGGGAGGCTGAGGCAGGAGGATCATGAGGTCAAACCCAGCCTCAGCAATTTAGCAAGGCTCTAAGCAACTTAGCAAGACCCTATTTCTAAATAAAATATAAAAAGTTCTGGGGATGTGGCTCCGTGGTTAAGCACTCCTGGGTTCAATCCCCAGTACCCCAAATAAAAAACGTACACAAAGTCTCTACCCACAAATGTCAGAAGTAGAGTGAAGGACAGGAATGTGAAACCAGGCCGAATTTAACTGAGAAAGTGGGTTGTTGCTATCGAATACTCATCTGCACTTAGTAAAATGGATTCTCTTAA